AAAAAAAAAAAAAAAAAAAAAAAAAAAAAAAAAAAAAAAATCTTTTTTATGCATTCCATTTAATGATAATTCCTTGGACTAACGTGCGCTCACCGGAGGACTGCAGCACCTCAGGATGAACAGAATTGGTTCCAGGTACTTTATACAAGTGAATTCATCACCTAGCCGAGGTTAATTAATTGAAAATGGCTGGAAGCTGCCGGGTGCCGGGGCTCCGGGGCGGCCGAGCGCCGCGCCACGCCGCGGGACTGCTGTCCATGGTCCTGCGTGGCTGCGCGGCGCGAGCCGGGGCAAACGGGGGGCTTCGTGGGCAAAAGAACCCGAGTCGTTCCTGCAGATCGCAGGCGGTGCTTGTCAGCAAGGAAATGAGTGTTCTGCAAGGAGCTGCAAAGGGTGCTCCATTACTACTCATGGAACTCCCAGGCTTTCTTTCTGTGATTTGCCTCTGAGGGGGCTGTTGGTCCAGCTGTGTGAAGACTTGTGCAGTGAAACTGGACTGTTGTATGTTGGATCATCTTCTGAATGTTATCTTAGTGTTTAGAAAAGAAAGCCCTAGACCTTTATATATCAACGACAGACAGGATTCCTTGCTGGGAAACATGCCCCTGGTTTGGATATTTCAAGTACAAGTGTTTTTGTTCAAATGTTATCAAGACAAAACTTGCTCTTTTTCAATCTATGGGTTATTTTCATCCTTACGTCAGCAAAAATTCTTCCTATCTTGAGGTGATGGTGACTTTATTTTTCCTTTCATTGAGATGCAAATATTTTCTTTTTAAGGAATTTTCTAGTGTCCAGAGCTATGATGCAATAGGAGCTTAAAAAATTGTTCTGTGTTTATATATTCTGCTGTTACTACCTTCTTGGTAATGCTGGGAGATCAGGGGCTAAGAGTATAAGATACATTAATATGACATTCAAATGTTTCAAAGGCTATCCAGGGATTTAATTTCTTGGGAGTGGGTGCTATCCTTTTTCTGTTATGCATAGTGCTATGCTTGGGGTAAGAACACACAGAAGGGAGAACTTAGTTTTAATGGGTTCTTTGCAGGTTTTCAGCTCTTATGGGCACCATACTTGTGAGATGAACTGAACTGCCAGTTTACTGTACTCTGAAGAGTCTTTTCTATGGTCTTTAATTCCAGCTCAGAGTTCTAAGAGATGCTGATGTTACTTAAGATTTCTCATGTATTAGAGAGCTTGAGAATTTTTCTAGCAGTTTCTATTCGGAAAACAAAAACAAACACCCTTGCTTTATGTCTTTTCAGGACTTCCTCTAAAAGTTGTTCTGCTGAAGAACAAACTGGAGTCGTTTCTCACTGATAAAATCATTTTTATTGTATCTAGAGAAATTATAGAGGGAAACAAAGATCTTCTCAAGTTACTGGCCTGCAGCATTCTCTTCTCTGTTCTAAAAGAACTGGAAAAAAGATCTGGTAATGCTGTTGTAGCGTAGGATGAAAAAATATACATGTATATTTACAGGATCAACCAGATTCCCTTCTTGGCTTTTTTTGCAGCTATAACCAGCCAGGCAGTGGTATGTGTTAGCTCATTAGATTGGTCAAACCCTGCATCTGTGCACTGCTCAAGAACTAATGAAAATTTCACGCCCAAGTTAGATTCATCATATGTGGACACACATGATATTGGCTGTCTGCAGAGCTTGGCTCCGGAGATGGGGAGAGCTGTCACCAAGGCAGGTTTTTCACACTTTGCTTGAAGCGTCATCAAAAAGATTTTAACAGAGTTTTGTTTATTTGTTTGTTTGTTTTGTGGCAGACTAAAGAATGGTTCTCTTGTTATTGTTTACTGGTAACAAGAATTTATTTCTGTGAAGTCACAACAGCGACCAAGACATCTGCTTCGTTTTACCTTCTAATTCTATCATATAACTTAGCCAAATTATGCAGTAGGTCTTCAGATTCATTTAGCAGCTCATTTATTGAGTCTCTTAGTGTCTTCAGTAAAGCACTTTTTATTCACAAGCACCCAGAACTAATTGCTGTCTTACTTCCAATGCGCTGTGAATGTTACCTGTCTTAGCATTTTAAAGAGAGGCACTCAGAAGTGTCTTCAAAATCATCTTGCAGGACAGCTTCAAATTCTGGATTGGAAGTCCAGTCTCATACTGTAATACCTAGTTTACATGCCTGCCTAAGGGGTTGCAGCACCTGATGTAGATGCTTGTCCAAAGAAAATGGCATGTAGGTGCATAGGCAGTTTGTAGAATTAGCTGAGAGCTGGATGCATCCATAAGCATCATGGTGTGGTCCTCTGCTGAGCTGGGAATCTTGTAAGAGCACTTTAGCTGGTCAGGAACTGTGGATGGCTGTCTGGATCTGCACTGCAGCAGAAAAAGGGATTATGCCTGTAATTTGCATATCCAGAAGGGCTTCTACACAGCTGCATGGGAGGGTATTTCATGCTGAAATAGGTGTTGATGAGATCTGGGTCCTTCTGAAATAGGAAACGCTTGAGAGTGGATATTCTGGGTGTTTGAACAAAGTCATGCTTTAGGTACCTGATCAAGTGATCTGAATCCTGCTGCAAGTCTCTCAAACCCTAGGCCAGCGCCTCCTCCAGTACAGTAGCCTTCCCAGTAAGTTTTATTTTACAGTCAGTAAGTTTGGCTGTTATCTTATGTAAAGCCAAAAATTGCACAGTCTATATCTGTATTTATGTCTCTATATATCTAATATATATCTATATTTAGCAGAGCCCTGCTAAACTAGTTGGAAGCTTTCCAAACCATGCACAAAGTCAGTCTGTTGTCTTTTCTGTCAGGAAAGGAACAGTCTAGGGAAAGTATTGTGCTAAGTTCAGGTTGGTTGGCCTGGCAGTGCTGGAATTGTTAATACCATAAATACAGCCTTTTCAGTCTCTGGATGTACATAAGCAAAGAGGTCAAGAGGCCTACAATAGCACTCCATAGGGGTTGTTTGAAGAGACTTTTTAGTAATTGTGAATGTTCAGCTAACATAAGACTTGTTTTAAAATGCGGACTCAGATTTGTTGCTTGGATGAGATATAAACTAAGATTTGATCATATTTAAAAGTCAATCCATTTCAAGTCTAGTGTTCAGAGCATCTTACATCTTTAAGAATTGCTTTACATGCTGGTAGGCTTAGAGTTTTTAACCATATTCTGTGAGTTGCCAACCATTGTGTAAGAGGCATGAAGTATCTCTTGTTGCTTGTCTCTTGAACAGACGCCTTCCTTTTCCCTACCCAAATCCAGAAGACAAAAATGTGTTGTGAATTTACCCACGTGATTTCAAGAAAGGATACACCACCCATTTTTTGGCAAAGATGTGGAAGCATTCATACTGCCTATTTTAATAGTCAGATGGAGGAAAAGAAGTCTTGAAAAGGAGAAGCAGAACAGTTACATTAGGCACTTGATGATAATTTCAATCTGAAGAGCTCTGAATTCCCCTCTGAAATCTTTTTCTCTTGGGAGTCTTAGTTTCTAAGTTAATTGGCTAATTTGTGTGTTCACACCACAAATCAGCCCAGCAAGACAAACTCAGAAGAGCTAATGCTGCTCACTTGTTCTCAATGGAAGCTGGGGATCTCAGGATCTTGTAGAGGCACTTGACTCCCCTGGATGTCTGGGAATTAGGGGGTTGTTACTAGAACGCTGGAGAATTTACAGTGAAGAGGGAAGGAAACAGCACCGAAAAATCTTCCTTCACTAACTGGTGCCTGTGTCATCATCTCTCTAAAGAGAATTTATTTCTCTCGTTCTTTTCCTGTTCCAACTAATAACTTTCTTGGGGGTGGAGAGAGCTGGAATTGACTGAAGGTGCCCCAAGCTGAGAGATGTTCAGCACCCAGCTGATTCCTGATCTCCCTTGCAGGTGAAGAGTTGGACAACTTGTAGGCTGAACAAGCCAGATGAGGAAGAGAAGGGTATGGCCTGGAGAGAGTTAGAGTTACAAAGCCAGCAACTGTTGGTGAGTGTGTTGGCTGAAGTGCTCTGCCGTAGCCTCTGCAGTCAGGGCTGGCTTCAGGGAAGCCCAGGGGAATGGCCTTGGGTCATCAGATAGCATTTATGGGGGGCTATAGGAGTAAGCATGAATACACAGATCTTGTGGAGAATGAGTCTTACATAGGAATGAAATCCATCTGTGAGTTTGGTGGGGATTTTTTGTGTATTCAGTATTCTTATCTCAGGGCCTGCACTGGAATAAGTCACCTCTGAGTAATAGAAGGGAGAGTCTAAAAGTCCTTCCTCTGATAATTTTTGATGTCCCATTCATATCGTTCTCTATCTGTCTTAAACTTTACTCTTCTTGCTATTCAGCATCATGAGGCACCACAAAACATTACAACCAGCAGTCCTCTGGAGACAAGTGTATTGTTGGGCCCAGCTTCCATGGAAGAGCAAGAAAGCTTGAGCAATGGCACCCCTTCTGCATTCAGCTGTGAGCATTTGCCCCAAATGCCTTCTGTCATTTCGGAAGACCCCATCCTTTTTGCTTTAATTGATTCTGTCTGGCTTTAATTTGATGTGAGAATAGACCTCCCACTGCGAGCTCTCAAGAGTGCTTTGTGTAAGGGAACTTGCAGGCTGGATGTAGCTGTGACCAGGGACAGGATTATTTTATTGGAATAGGTAGACAAGGGCATTTTGGTTAGGTCCACTGAATTCTTCAAGTCCTTTACCAATTGAAACGAGGCTTTTTACTTCCTTAGTGGGCTGTGGGAAGTACTTGTACAACAACTTGAAAGCAAACCACTAAAATAATAATTTATTCTTAAAGCCACACATGGGATTTTACAAAGACATCCAGAGTCCTATTGCATTGGTTTCCTGTAAGTAAGAAGCGGGAGATGATCTAGAAGGACTGGGACTCTGAAGGTTCAAGGAAGGGATTTGGAGGCAAGGAGAAGGGAGCATATTTGGCTGCCATCACCAAACAGAATGATGGCAGGGATGAGGGTAAACAGGGGAAGTTGAAAAGCAAACATCCATGTGAGTCTGGTCAGCTAAAGTCTAAACAGCTCTTGAGTTTGTCTTATCAAATCAAAATATTTTGGTTCAGTAGTGTGTTGCCTTGAGTCAGTGTTTGTCTATGGTGACATGGAGTTGTAGAAACATCCAAATTGGAGGGTGCTGCATCCCCTGCTACTGGAGCTGGGATCTCTGCTGTCTGCTAAGGCCTAAGAGAGGAGCACATTGCTTTTTGGGTCAAGGAAAGGCTGCATGAGAGCAATCCTATGTCTTGGTTTCAGATTCTTCAGTTGCTTTAAGGCATCTTCAGAGCTGCAGTGCCTTGTTCAGTGTGATTAAGTGTGCTGCTGCTTGGACCGCAAATAAGGGTTTTAAGTCAAATGGGAAGATTTTTGAGGGAAAACAGATGAAAAAGTATTCAGAGTTAATTATGAGAATTGTTGAAATGGCTTGAGTAATAAAAAATAGATATGTACTCACTTATTCATCTCATGCTATTAGCGGTCTGTGCTTCTGCATCAAGTGATAGTGGGCTGGGAAAGGTTGGAGTGTTTAGGAGACCCTGTGAAACACAAAATCACTGTCTGCACAAAACCTAATGTCACTAAAAGTCCAGTCTTTGAAGATGCAACCTGGTGATCTTCTAAAATTGTATTTCACAAAGACATTGAGGTTAGGGTGAGGTGCTAAGCACAAAACAACTGGAAAATGTACACCTTAGGCTAGAGTAGGACCCTGTATATCTCCAAAACCCACCCACATCTCTCCCAGCCTATTCCTAGTGGTAGCTTAGACCTTACTGGTTTTTTGCAAACAGTTTTGTTCCTATCTGCTGATTTTGTTCATCACTTCATAGAAATTGTATACAAGAATACCATGTATATGCTTTCACTAGAAATACTTCTTTTTTCCTTCCCTGTGTCAGAAACCCTATATTTTTTAACTTATTCTTTAGCCATTCCACCTGATCACTCAGTATTTCCATGTTTCAAGGAGATTTATCTGAATGGCATGTTTCCATGGCTGATATGCAGCAATAATGCAGGGTTAATACCTAATTAGTTCCCAGGGACATTGAGCTTTTCATGGATATTCAGTAACAAAAGAAACAACAAACAAGCTGAATTCCTGGGTCTTAATTCATTTGGGAGAAGGAAACAGGAACCTAAAAATGCAGGAATTATTCAATGCAGTCCAAGCTTAGTCCATTCTCTCATGGAGCTCAGAAGATGCTATAGCAGCTGACAGGGAAAATATAACCTCCCTCCCTCCCTTCAGGGACTGTGTATGTGTCTGTGTTTGCAGCCCTGACATCTCCAAAGAGGAACATTCCCAGTTCTGCCACACTTTAAATAGCTCCTTGCCCGTTCCCCTGCCTGCCGCAGCCTCCAGCCAACCTGACCCCATTTTCTGACATTCAGCCATACCTGATCAATTGTATCCTGAGCAGCTAGAGATGATCGGAGCTGGCCTTCCACCTCGCAGGATGGCGAGCATATGGGCCTGCAGGCTCCAGCCATTATGTTCCTGAGCACTGAGCTTGTCTGCCTGTGGCTACAGAGGGCTTTTTCCCCTCTCAAGCAATCGCAAATAAACCTTTCTGATAACTAAAAGGAAAACAAACAGGCCCTTTGGCTCTGTAGGCACTGAGAAGGAGAGGAAAACAAAAAACAACAACAAAATCTTTGCTATGCTTAGGCAGCACGCAGCTTCAGAGGGCCCTCAGGAAGGAGGAACTGTCTGCCCTCAGCCAGAGATGGGGCTTTTCTCTGAGCAGAAAGGGCTCATTTCAGGAGGGTTAGCCCTTGGTGCTGAACAGCCAGAAGTGGAGTGGGAGCTGCAGAGGTGAGAGAAAGTTTGGCTCAGAGGGATCCATCATCTAGATGAAAAAAAATGAGTCTTTGAACTGCCCACTATAGGCAGTCTAGTGTTAGACTTGAAGTCTTAAGGGTCTGAAGGCTGAAATCAGCCTTGTGAGGGTAATTAGCCATTGGAACTGGCAGCAAGGGCAGAGCAGGACAGGATGGTAGAACCATAGAATCACAGAATATCCAGAGTTGGAAGGATCATCAAATCCAACTCCTGGTTCCACACAGGACCACCTATAAATCAGACTATATGTCTGAAAGCACTGTCCAGACTTCTTGAAACCTTGGCAAGCTTGGTGCTGTGACCATTTCCCTAGGGAGCCTGTGCCAGTGCCCAACTACCCTCTGGTGAAGAATTTTTTCTTGATATCCAGCCTGACCCTTCCCTGGCACAGCTCCATGCTGTTCCCTCAGGTTCTATCACTTGTCACTAGGGGGAGGAGATCAGCATTTGCCCCTCTGCTCCCCCCCCCGACAAGGAATCCACAGGCTGCCATGAGGTCTCCCCTTAGTCTCCTCTATGCTGAACAAACCAAGGGACTTCAATCATTCCTTCAGACCCTTCACCATCTTTGCAGACCTCCTTTGGATGTTCTTTAGTAGCTTTATGTCCTTTTTGTTCTGTGGCACACAGAACTGCTCACATTACTCAGGGTGGGGCCACACCAATGCAGTGTAGAGAGCGATAATCACTTCTCTGACACAACTGGCAATGCCATGCTTGATGCATGTCAGGATACGGTAGGCCTTCCTGGCTGCCTGGATACACTCATGTTCAACTTGCTGTTCACCAAGACTCCCAGATTGCTTTCAAGGGGGCTGCTACAGTGTCTCACCCACCAGTCTGTGTGTATAGCCAAAGTTTGTCCTTCCAAGGTGCAGAATCCATTACTTTCTCTTGTGGCCACCTTTCATGTGGCCGGTGATTGCCCAGCTCTGTAATTTGTCTAGCCCCTGCAGGCTGGGGGACATCTGCCAACAGCACAGAGGCATGCTGCCATGCCAAGTGAACTGAAAAGCTGCTTGCTAATGCAACACCTCTTAGAGCAAGACTCCATATACTGGGTAGATTCACAGTTTCTTAGGGTTACTCAACTGAAGTGCACTCCCAGCTGGCAACAAAGCTCTTTCCCTAAGACAATAAATGATGGGCTTTTTCAACTTGAAGTCAGAGTCATGAAGAGCCTTTGAAACCTTTGCCTCAGCAGATATGGCCAAGGTTATCAACTTGGCACGTCTTCAGTGAACTTGGACGCTATCTTGAAATGCTGCCAGACTGCAATGCACTCGTGCTAAAATGCTGAAACCACAGAAAGGGACCCCTGACCCTGTCACCTTGCTCTCCTCCTGCCTGCAAAGAGCCAGAGCACTAACATTATCATGAAGGTACAACAGCTGGTACCAGGTATGAGTTGTGCTGCTGCCAAGGCGTCTTCTCTGAAGTGTTCGATGGGAATCACTCCTATAGAGTGAAGTAGTTCTGTTCCCTAAACATTTGAACTGTAGAAATGAGTAGGAAATCCATGTGGAAAATTCAGAAGGGGAAAATGAGAGCATAAACCATGGGATCAGCACCCACTGGGCCAAACAGTTCCTTCCCAAGAAACTCCATTGAAGCAACAATATTAATTGCCAATTTATGCCAGCATTTCCAAGAGTCGCTCTTGGGACACAGCCAGTTCTGGTAGAGGATTAATCTTGCTGAGAAACTCCCTCTTGCCCATTGCTCTGTCTCTGACACACTCACACATGCAGAAAAACAAATGTTGGTGACCCTCCGACAACCCAGTTAGCTAGCGGGTAATTAAGGGACATGAAACTCTAGCTTCCCCTTCAGCACAGCCCTGCATCTGCCACAGCCAAATCAGAAGGCAGGACTAGCCACCTGCTAGTTGTTTTGCTCAGAGAGAAAACGTCTATTGGACACATAGGAAACAACTAATTCAGTCTCATGAGACGGACCAGCAATTTGTCATTCTCACTGTCTCCAGTACAGGTACTCAGCCCCTTTTAGGACTATGATGCCGTGGGGTTTTTTTTCTGGTTATTTTTCCACCTGGCAGTAGTTCTGTATTTTGTTTTTGTCTAATGTAGCATTTCTCAGCTATTGACATTTGACCATCCAATTCCGGGCAACAAAGAAAACATTGTCCCCCATGCGCACACAGGAATCCCCATCCCTTCATCTTGGCTTAAAAACAAATTAATAGAGAAAAATGTGTATTGTGTAAGCTGGAAAGCACAGTCATTGTTGTGCAGTGTCTGACTTTTGAGAAGCATGGATCTTCTCTATTTACTGCTTTGGAATCTCTGTGTTTCAAGGACAGGTCAGCGCCTCTTCATCCTACCACTTCCCTAGTGCCATTGCACTCTGTATGCCACTGAAGTGTGATTTGACTCAAATTTTTTGCACTAGGGGTTCCACAGAAGTTTCCCCAGAGTTGGTCTCGGTATCAGAAGGGATAGTTTAATGGCCTCAAGAAGCAGGCTAGGAATTTTCCTTGGGAGCAGCAGGCTCAGATCTACAGCTTGCTCAGTCTTTCCCCCTTCTGAGGAAAATAAATTGAATAGCATGCAGTTTACTGCATACCCACAAGAGAAGTTGTGGAGGAGAACCCAAGGCCGGCCACTCAGCGGGTGCAAATCAGTATGCCTTTGCTAGCTTACACCAGCTGTAGAGTTGGCCCCAAGGTTTTTGTGTTCACATTATCCTGGGGCTCATATTGCAAGAATGCAGGGCTGGCCAGATGTGCTGGCTGCTGTACTCCCTTTCCTCCATGACTGACAGGGTACCAGGGGACAGGGAGCTGCCACTCCCTGCCCTTGAAGCAGCCAGGTTGGAGCTGCATGTATAAAGTCTGGAAGTTGCTTTGGGATCTTTGGGAATGGCTACAGCACGTAAATGCGGTTACAGGACGTATCAACAGAGTAGCAGAGGAAGTTTTCCCCTTGGAAGTGGTGTTCATCTCCTCCCCCAACCCAGCATATGGAATTCTGGATCACATTTCTCTCTCTTGCCAATAAATATTGCAGATTTATTGCTCTATACCTGGTGGGTAGTAAATTGCATTCCACCTCTGTTATAAGGCTCTTTGCTATGACATAGCCTTGCAGCTCCATTAAACCTTAATTACAGCAACACTTCATTGGGTTGCTGCGATGGTCTGAGTGCCATTGCAGTGGAGAGGATATATGGCCAAAACAGGCTGACGCAGAGACGCTTTGTTTTGTTTTGTTTCCTCCCTTTTTAAGGATTATGGAGAGTTGAGCCCAGCAAGGGGAATAGATGGAGAGCCCCTCACGCTCTGCTCATTTTCCACAACAGCTGGCTTCACCTGCCACAGCCCCTGTAGCTCTTCAGTCCCTGACTGAGTGCTCAGCAGTGTTCAAAGTTGCCTTCTTTAGGTGACTTATTCCTGCCTGTACTTCTGATCGGCATCCCAGGTTCAGTGTTATTTTTGTTTGAAAGCATGAGGAGTGCAGGGCTTGGATTTCTAGAGTGTAGCAAGACAAATTTAAGAGTCAGTGACTGAGATCACTCTTAGCAGATGGATTGTTTTGTGTCAGCTGAAGGCATTATCTCTGGTGCCATCCTTGCCCACCTGCCAATATTCATCCCTGCAGCCTGTGGCTTTGGCTTTGGACATCAAACTGGGTCTTTGTGGACCCCTGGCCCCTCATAGACTTGCACTCAGTGCTAGCATGCATTGCACAGACAGCCCTCCTTGGACCAGTGTTCATGTCTTCCAGCTCTGTGATGAGCTAACCAGACTACTAATCACTGTGCCAGCCTCTTGGATCCACTGCACCACCTCACAGGTGAGTGCTGTCATTGGATCCGTCCAAGAGAGAGACTGCTTGGTTCCAATTGGAAATGATTTGCTGCCTCAGTTGTACTGGTACGTTGTCAAGTGGTACAGATGGTGTAGATATGACCATAACTGAAGCTGCTCCAGTTTAATTTTGGGACTATCTGCTGTTAGCATAATGCTCTCACTTTCGTAATGAGTTTGACTTTTGTGGTCATACTAATGCTTCACAAGTCCACTTGTATGAGTGAGAATACTTCTATTACTGTGTTTTACCACATCCATAACTTTATCTACCCAAATATCTATATATCATTTATATTCAGGTACCCAAAAATGTTTGTAGGTAGACAGCATGGAGATCTTCTACCCCACTGCTATAGCAAAAAACTACCAGAAAGCAACTAAAATCTTTCTACAAATTTAGTTGCTGTGCTCTTTAAAGAGTAACTAACACATGAAGGATACTTTTCTGTGGAGAGTCTATTACAGAGCCTTGTTTGTCCTCATTCTCCCCTCCTTCAGCAACCTTGAGATGTCAGACATAGGAAATGTGGCCACAGCTGTTTATGCACTTAGGAGGTTTTTTTTCCAAGGCCGCATCCTTCTATTCTGTAGATTACTTGAAAAGATGCTACAGGGACTCCAGAAAGCCAAGGTCTGTGTGCCATGTGCAGGTGTTGCCAGGAGATTGACATTTTGAACATTTGAAAACTATCAGAGAACTGATTTGGTGCTAGATTTTTTTTCCTCTCCTCCCTCCTTCCCACTTAAAGTGTATGTTAGAAGGCTTCTGCTGTAGACTGATATTCCTAACAGGTCCATGTTGCTCAAGTAACAGTCACACACGATAGCACATAGTAGGAGAAACATAGCTCATCA